GTCTATGCGCTTTTTTCACTCTCTTAGCTAAGTATTGTTGATTTAGGTATAACGACACCAACGCATTTTATCAACGCACACCGAAAATATCTACAAAGAATAGCATGCCTACGGAATATAATTTCAGTAGCAATGCAATAGACTGACAACAAAACAGAGCAGCTCTCCGATCTCTGTCCAGTAAAGTGACCGGACATCACGGTTGGCTGCTGACCTCGCTATTCGACAGCCTCAGATATCCCTAGCTCCAGGATTCTGCCTTAGGAGACCGGTGGTAATGGGGGCTCTTATGGGTAGGTCATATAAGCGGAAAGAAAAAAGTAAATTAAAAAGTGGAGCATATAAAAGCAAAAAATAGTAGGAATAATTGTTTAACTAGCCGCATGTTCGGCGCACGATACTTAAAATGGGAAATACAACCAATAGGAACCAAGCATTGCGTAAAAGTACCCGCGAATTGGATACATACTTGTGTTGACTCTATATTGAAGGTTAAAGATTCAAGGAAAACCATGAAAGGTAGGCTTTTCGTCAATTAAAAAAACTCAATAGCTTCTAATGCATTCGGACAGATACGTTAGTATAATAAGCCGTAAAGCAAGCGAATATCGCTTGAAAATTAAAGCAAATTTGAGATTAAACTAACTAAAGCAATAATTAAACTAATAAACTGAAAACGAAACTTAAACAAATAAATTAAAAGCAACGGCAAGAAGCTGAAGATTTCCGTATTGGGGGTGCAGTAATAAGCCTGGCCACGCCTACTAAAATATATATAGTTGTTATAAGGGTATATTTGTCGAACGTTGTCGGACAACTAAATTTTTGTCACGTTTTCTGTCAAGAATTAGGTTTCTGTTGAAATAAGAGCGTTGGTCATTTGGCTTTCTGCTACTGCTGTCGTCTCTGATGACGGCTTATAGCGGGAATCCGAAACGTCAGACGAATAAACATTTGTCCCAGTGATCGCGCCTACTTCTTGTCAATTAGGGTTTATTTTGTATGCCTAAAGAGAAGGGCTGGCTGAACACCGTAACTGTTTTTTTAAATTGTGCTAGGCTCTCGCACTCATGCAGGAGTTCATCGTCAGAGATAGTAGCAACAACAAAAAAGGATTCGCTTATAAATAATCAATGATCAGTGACACAAGTTGGTAGGTGACTGCGCAGGGCTTTGCATGCTGGCGCCGGATCGGTACACCGATTGACTAATCGTTGCGATGCAGATTGGATTACAAGAAGGCGATGGAGGGAGGGGGGCATGCTGAGGCTTGTTGCTGCTGACTAACCTGTACACTGCTTGGCATCCCAAGTCTTGTTTCCTCATAGTCTTCTTACCGTCCTCTTGCTCCCTTCCAGCATTGTTGCCTCCCTCCTCCGCCACTGCACCGGCCAACAACAGACCCGGGTTCTGTCAAAATTCGTGGAGAATGAACACGAGAAAGTGGATCGCATGGTTGAGCTGCACTTCAAGTACTATGAGCGCGTTCAGGAGTCCAACCTCAAAGTGGAACGCTTCCGGCAGGTTCGTCATTTGTTTTTCTGGGAGTCCGGGTCATCTACGGACGTTTTCCTGACCTCCCCGTTTTCTCAGATCCGCTCCCCCCCAATTAACTTTCTTCGTGTATATTTGCTGTTGCTTTCCCTTCCCTCTTCTCCTTCTATTACTATAATCCCCTCATCCCTTTAAAAAGCGAAGTTGCTAGACGAAGAAGACGTGGTCGTTGGAAAATGAATTCCTCTCGCGGGACGCTTGGAATCCACAGTCAAACCCTCCTAGTCTGAAATAGCATCAGATGATGAATTTGATTTGAATCCGAAACGTCCAGCGAATAAAATTCATGTTCCCCGAAGCTCGTGGCTCCGTCATCCCGTCCGTTCTTCTGAAATTCGCATTTCTGCTTTTATCGACCGCTAGAAAAGTTAATAATGCCCAGTCCGAGATTTTCTTACTGGAGTTGAAGAACCGAGTTCCCGCCTACTGGAAAAATGTCTAGCGCTGTGCCTGCGGTGTGACATAGGGCGTGTTCAGATGTGATGAGGATGCTGGTAAGGAGATATGTGGTGATGCAGGATGGACTCGCAAGTGCCCGACCAGACCATTGTTTACTCTGTATACGCAGTGGCAAAGTTGATAGGATGGGTTACGAACTGCAGAATCGGATTAGATTCGGAGACTGCTAAAGGACTGTCTCGTTGGCAGCTGGCAGTTG